GGTCATAGCCTAAGACTATGGTAAAGCCAGCAGTAATATATCGCTAATTGTTCCTATATGTATCCTGCAATTTTTGAAGGAAAAGAAAATAGGATAGCCAAAAACTGTCCACGGATCTACTGCAGTTTGATAGCGCATAAATTCAAGCAAAAAAAAAAAATATATATATATATATGTATATTTATACGAAGCTTTTTCTATCAATTGGAAAGTTTTTTCTTAACCCAATAAACTTGTTAGCAGTTATACAAATAGGTCAGTTTATCAATGTCAGTTATACTTGATGAATAGATATGAATATAAACTGTATGTTTGTTTGAGTGAGAATGTGTGTAGCGAATAATATGATAATTGTCGGATGATACAGAATTTTATAGGTGCGCAACAGACTGAGTTATTTGACGACAAATAGTCGTAGAAATTTTGTGTTTAAGTTTTGTAAAACAAAAATTTTCTTTTTGGTGCAACTGACTGTGTCTTATAAATTTATTGAAATATTTACTTTTAAAAACAACAAAAAATATAGGCATAACCAAAAGTATTCTGTTATTGTTTTCAGTTTAATTAATTGTAAACAAACAAAAAGAAAAAGAAGAAGACTTTACTTTATTTTTAATTGTTTATAATTAGTCGAAAAAAAAAGTAAGATTAAAAAAATTAAGATTAATCTACCTTAGCCCAAAGTTAATAGTCGTTTTCTGTAGTATCTCTTTATTCTGTTCTTTCAATTTGCAGATCATTTATTCCTCTCTTTTATCTTCTTTTTTTAAAATTTTCTCTAGTAATGGAAACCGCACTAAGCTAATGCAGAAACTAAAAGTGGTACCAACCTATAAAAGCAAAAAACAACTCTAAAAATTTTTCTCACTTCTGTTTTTCAAATAGAGGCTAACAACTGTGTGAAAGAAAAAGAATGAAAACAACTAAAAAAACCTCTTCTCTTTACTGATCAAAATGTTTAGTTTTTAACAATAGAAACTGTTCTATTTTGTCTCTACAGAAAACACGTTACTTATCAATGACAATCAATCTGCTTATTAATACGGTTACAGTAAAGCTCTTAAAAAACTATGGCCGTTCTTTTTTTGGTTCCCTTGATATACCACTTAATTTTCAGAAAAGCGCTTTCTCTACCTTTTTTTGTTGTTTTCGTTTACTTTTTTTGAATCATAAAAAAGTCTTGTTAAAAGTGAAAAAAAAAGTTGAACAAAATTTGTTCTATTACTACCAATAGAACTGTCGATATGTTCATCATTTATCATCATCTTTTTTGTGGTCTTCTCATCTTTATCAACTAAACCACTTTTTTCCCCGTTACCCGTATTCAATCTCTTTTATTTTCTTTCGTTTTCCTTACTGATTATGCCAGTTTTAATCAACACTTCGTATTCTAAAGTCTTAGAAACAGAAATAGAGCAAAAATATTTGGTTTGAATTAGAGAGAAACGATTTTTTCTTTCATGTTCTTTTATAAGACAACAACTATCTGATCAGTGCTCCAGCAAAACTTAGTTTTACATTTTTCGTATGTTTTTCAACCTTTTTTCTGCACTTCTCTCTTTTTCATTTTGATAGAGAAAGTTCGATACATTTTAAGAAAAAAAATGTCAGTACATTGAAAAAGAAACTCAAAGAAACTAATCAAGCCAACTAAAGAAAGAATAAAGATACTGAAAAAAATTAACAGCAAAATAAGAAATTTAGCTACGCAAATTTTTCTGCATCAAACATAAAAAAGTGACAAATTAAGAGAGAAATTTTTTATTGACATTTACAAACAAATAATTTAACAAAATCCTAACAGGAAAAGACTATTTTTTTTGTTTTGAATATGATTAATTGACAAAATGTAACAAAAATACAGAGTATCTTTCCTTCTGTTTTCTTCTTCTGTTCCCCAACTTTCCAGTTTCCTCTCCCTCCCTTTGTAACCCCAGAGAAGCAGCTATGTGTAAAAAAGTTAAACTAGAAAGTTTTTTTAAAATTTTTTGTGTTTTAGTTGTTATCTGTAAGTAAGCAGGTATAATACGTTATAAAAAGTTTCTAAAAACGGGAAAACAAACAATGAGGATAGCCAAGCCGCGAAAGCCAAGTGGTATATCGGTAAAATGGATATGAAAGGAAAACAGTAGTGATTATTGCTGTTCAATTCTCAAGTGTAGGCTATGTAACCTATAGACAGTTAAACGTATCTAAGTTATATTCGTATACAAAAACAATACAGAGTAAAATTTACTTGTTTACTTTCTTTGTTTTTTGTTCTAGTTGGCTTTTTTTCTTCTTTATTTCATAATTATTCCTGGTCAAAATGTTACTGTCAAGTTTCCAAACAAAAAAATAGTTTAATGACAAAAGAAGAAGTATATTTTTAAGGTATAATACCAAATTTTTGCTAAATTACTTTGGCTTTAAATGAGCGATACATTTTTTTTAATCTTTTTGGCCCTTTCTCACTTTAATGTCACTATTCGCTTACTGTGAAACCAAATTTTGGCTTTTTTTATTTTTTGAGTAAGAAAATACCTATTCTATAATCACTTTTCTACAAATGTAAGCCTACCTAAAATAAAGCTAAAGAAGTCACTTTTTTCTACGCAATTTATCGTTTTCATGTTGTTCCAACACTCCATTTTTAATTTAATATTGTTCAAAAAACTGAAAAAGAAGAAAAATTTTTTAAGATGTTTTTTCTTATTGGCTTTGTCTTTTCTTTTTGCCTTCGTAAAGTTTATCTTAAAAGCAACAAAAATTGTTATAGTTTTCTATTGACCACAGAACATAAAAAGTGGAGAAGAAATGTAATATTTGTTGCAAGAGAATTTGCTGTTGTTGATAGGGGTAAGAAAAATTGCAAAAATTTCAATTTTTCACAAAATTTGTCTACAAAAATAAGAGAAAAAAAAGAGTGAAAACGAAATTTTTTCATGCATTACAGCCTCTCTGCTTCGCCAAATACAATATTATTCAGGTTTCAATGGTCAGTTAATAGTTTTAGAAATAAAAACCTTTATTTTACTGCAAATTTTGCATTCCTTTTTTTGCAAAAATCATTCAGTTTTATTGAGCAATTGAAATTTCAAAAAATAGATAAGAAACGTGCTTTTTCTTTTACTTGATTTTTTGTTCTCAGTTTTCGTCTCTCTACTCTCTTCATTTTTTCTATTCCTGCTTATTTTATACATAAAAAGTAAGGTCAGGCTAGGTCTAGCTTTCAATTGAACAATGGTGAAATAAGTGTTTAGAAAAAACGACAAAATAGAAAAAAAAAAGATCAAAAAAAGTAAAGTTGAATTTGTTTTTTATTATACAAATTTTTATCATAAAATAGACATCAAGTTTCGTCAAAAAATGTCAGAAAGA